ATTACTTACTAATTGTTACTTAGTAATATGAACATAATACAGTTTTTGAAAAATGTCTGAATTAAATACAAACACATATATATACTCTACCATTATTTTTAATAATGTTTTGAACTTTATATAATTTCCTGTGATTTTATTTAATTCAATTTTCAGAACTATAAGCTTAAGCCAATCAAATTATTTTAAAATATCTATTAGAAAATATTAAAGTTATATCTTATTTAATTTCAAAATTTTTTTATTTGATAGTATATATTAATTAAAAACCATAGTTTGTAAATTATTTAATAAAAAATATATATTTATATTAAATATTATTTAATTTTACAGATATATAAATCAAATATATAATATAATAAATAGTTTATCAAGTATTAATATATATTATTTAATGATATCAACTATGCTATATATACAGATTTTATATTATAAAAACTTTTTCTGTTGATCTTTTTGCCAATCCAAAAAACAGATATTCTCAAAAGATTTTATGTCTTTATAATAATAAAGTCTATATATTTTCTTTAACAATATTGGTTTTCTAATCAGCAAAGCGAGCAGTAGCTACCACTTGTTTTATTCTTCTTTTTTAAAACACTTTTCTTGTTTATTTTTGCAACTAAATATAAGAAACCTATTTAAAAGGTTTATAGCAAAAATACCTCTTTAGAAAGAAAACTGATAAGAAAAAATACTCTCCAAAAACTTTCAAGAAATTCAAGATTTTAGAAATACAAGAATAAAGAAGTCTTTAGTCTTTTTATTATCTCTTTGACTTTCTACTTCTTTTTTCTCAAGCATGTTTCTTTTTTTTTGGTTTTTTGGAAGAATTTTGTCTATTTTAATTTGACACTGAATTTTTGGTTATATTAGATCTTCTAAAAAATAATTGGTCAAGGTTACAGATTAGTTATTTATGTCAGTTACAGAAAAAGTAAACAAGACACATACTTCTTATATGTTTCCAGTCATGTAATATCAAATTGATAATGTGATTAGTTCCTGAAAGAGTCAAATAGTTCTTAATTAAAGAAGTAATATAGGAATGTTAAGTAAAGCAGAAGTTGTAAATAGAAGAGAAATAACCTTTTATTTTTGTTTTATTTTTGTTTTTTGTTTTTTTATTTTTTTTTGAGAGTATGAAGTAGCAACAAGGTTTAGGATTCAGGTGCTATTTCAATCTGGTAACAAGTTAAAGTATTAATATTTATTTCAAAAATAGTTGAAAAAAGGTATCTTGAAACTATTCACTAATTAAGTAAAATAATAATTTCAGAAGACATGCTTGGAAGAGAAATCAATAATAGAAAACTAACATCCTTTTTGATTAGAAGTCTTCAAGTATAAAGTTTTAAGAAATACTCTTCTAAAAGTACCTTTAAACATTTTTAGACATTGATCACTTCAATAGAAATTAAACAGTTTGATTGATTACAGGTGATAAGAAGTAAGAAATTATAAGAAACTTGGATTTGGGCTTTAAGTTCATCAAGATAATCTTTTCAATAATAGTTAGAATATACAGTATAATAGCTTTTATTTCCTTTTTTCATATATTATTTCAATTATGCATACTTATATTGTTTTTTTTTTCTATTTCTTTTTTTTCTTTACTCTTTATATAATTTTTACAAAAGAAGAACAACACAATTTGAATTTATGGTCATAACTGTAAAAGTGATCTGTAGGTATTGATCCTAGTGGCATAACTGGATCTTAATCCTAATCACTAGGTTAGCAACATATTACTTCTATAAATTATATCTAGAGGCTTTGACTTTTGATAAGTGAGCTAGGTTTCAAGTAAATTTATACTTTACATGTATTTTTATATGTGTAATGATTCTTTATAGTTTAATAAACAATGGTATCAGCATGATTGTGAAAAAAAAATATACAAATTTTATTAATTATTAAAAATACATTTTCTAATCAAGTATTAAAATATATTTTACTCTTTTAAAGATTGATTTTAATATAAACAAAAAAAGATAATCAAAATATCCTTGGATTGACTTCTTAAAATGTTATTCCATATAATATTTTTATAATAATACAGCTATACTTTAACAAATTAAATTAGATAATTTAAAACTGTAGTAAAATTTCTACTTTTTAATAAGTTTCACATAATATATGAATCTATTGATTAATATAAATGTGTATAATTAAGTTTATATATGGATTGGTTATAGTTAAATTTACAGTTAATAGTAATATTAGCATATATACTGTATAATGTTTTAATTATAAAAAAATTGTCAGTTTTTTTGCCAATACTATAATTAAATAAATATCAAATTAATATAAAAAACATATGCAACTTTTTTTAAATTTATTATGATTTTTCTTTTTCACCTGTCTTTATTCACATAACATTCCTCTGGAAATTGAGCAGCCACAACATAGTCATATTATTATAACTGTAGTACAATGAAAGAAACGTAATTAAGTCTACCATACTGTACTTTTTTGTTAATTATTAATTATTTTAATAACTATACTTGCAAAGATAAGAAAAACTAATTTAACTGCTGTTAATCCGGGAAAACGATATATCATTTTCTCAAAGGGAGTTGACTAGTCCTAATTATGACAAATGTTGAATTCCGAAAGAAACATTCTTTGATCAAAAATATAAGAATGAAATATTTATTTCTATTTGGGAAAGTTTCACCGAAATGATATAATTCTGTAAAGAACGTTTCGAAACGCTCTATAGAATGAATGAAATATTCTAGAATATTAAATTCCGACCTTTGAGGTTTTGGATTTTCAAAAATGGCAGTAAATAAATGAATTGTTTGGATTGTGCGACTATGAAAAGAGATACTATCATAATGCCTTGGAGATTGTAAGAAATATGGTTCGAATATCGAGCACGTTGAACAGGAAATTCGCAAATGTCAACAAATATTTTTATTAATGAATTATCTTGGATGCTAGAGATTGTAAAGAGCCTCAGTTTCTTCAAGTGAGTAATTGACAAAGCCTTGAGTATAATAATATAAATACTCTTTTCGCCTGTGTGTGTGTCATGGTGCAGCCGAACAATCTGCGTAACACCACATTTACATTTACATTTCCTTTTTGCAATAATATTTTCAAAGAAAATTCTGGAATATTTCTAAATACAAAAACCATACCTACGTTTTATGTCACGAAACACCCGACATTCCTCGGAAATTTTGACGTGCACGGAGTTTTAAATCTATTAAATACCCACTGAATTCGACGTGTCAGAATTATTAACACTAATGCTTTCATACAAAAAACAACACTAATAACATTGGATACTTCATCGTTTCGAGATATTTTTATAAATTAATAAATACATACACATTCTCGTAATTTTGATGCTAAAAAATCTCAAATAATACACGTGATTTCTATTACCGCGCACATCTTAGAAATTTTATCGTGCACCTTGCTCAATCTGTAATTACCTTCATTAATTATACAGCATCTTTATAAATAAAAATGTCAAACCACGCGAACATGAAGCTTCCTGAATATCGTAAAAATATTACTTCTGCATGTGACCATTGTAAGGCATTAAAGCAACGATGTTCAGGAGGCAAAAATTGCATTAGATGCGTTAGAGGGAATGTAGAATGTAAATACACTACACCTAAGAGACGCGGCAAAAAACCGCGAACCCCCAATCAACCTTCACCAAATCAACCATCCCGTAATCATCAATTACCCTCCGACCAATCACTATCACCCTCCGCTCCCAATAAATCACCCTCCGATCAACTACCCTCTAATCAATCACTCTCCGATCAATTACTCTCTAATCAATCACTCTCCGATCAATTACCCTCTAATCAATCACTCTCCGATCAATTACATTCCGATCAATTACCCTTTGATAATAAAATTTCCCCTGATGAATTTGTCGACATTACAAAGCCGGTGGAGTTCCAAGCTGTAGGTAAAAACCTATTTGCCCCTTTTATTCATCAAGAATCTCAGATTTCCAAAGATCCTCCCATATTCTCGATATCACCAGAAATACAAGCACCTCTTGATAAAGCTGCCAACTCCCTCATGCAAATGACTGATAATCTCCAGGAAAGGAACTAAGTCAAATTTTATATTAGGAACGAACTTCTAATCTTTTTAATCAAATACCCTGTCATTGGTAATTATTTTTCGAAGGCGGACAGGGATTGTTTCGGTCCCTATAAATTTGATCTAAAATTCGCATTATATACTGTAAGATGTATTTAAAATTTTGGACCTAAAAATTATATTTAGGCCTTCAAATATGTACAGTATTTCACAGGCCAAACCCCCGTTGGATTTGTGGATAATTCGAATGGTGTATACAGATTGTAATAGTTATTATTACGTATAAATAGACTATAAATACGCACCATTAAATATCCACATAACCAATTAATATTTACAAGGAAAGGTGATTTGGCCATGAAATACGATAAATATTATGTTATTCTACGCTTTTTTGATATAATTATGTACGTATATGTAAAATAAGTATGTTATCTATGATCCTTATAATTTAATGAATAAATTTGATTATGATAAATATTTTTCAGAAACGAACTATTATACGTATATGTTAATTCATTCCACAATTCTTTAATATAAAAACCATTCATTTCTTTTCAGTTAATACTAGGGATAATAAAAATTCTAAAATAATTTTAATAAATGTCATTTAAAAGATTGAATTAAAATATTATTATTTATAACAACCTATAGTATATCAGTAAAATTTAAGTTACTATTTTAGATTGCAGTTGTAATGTTTCTCAAGTTTTTCTTTTTCATAAAACCTTTGTATATGTAATTATGATTTTGAATAAAGACCTCTAATTATAATTTCTTGTATTAATACAGTAGTAACAATAAAAATAGACAAGTTTCTTATTACAAAAAAATTATATTGTTATAAATTATATTGTATTAATATTAAAATTATTTAAAATTATTAAATATTAAACCAGTATCTTTAAATATATTTTTAACATTACAATCTTTTTCAAAATGATAAATAAAATAAAGTATAAAAATATTATATATAATATTTTTTAATAAATAAGTGATTACTTAAAATTATTATTGCAACAATAGAAAATAATAAGTTTGTTATTTATATACAGGTCTGATTACAGCATATTATATAACAACTAAATAAGCAAAATATCAGCATTAGGATTTTGAAAAAAAGCTTATTTTTTGACTTGTATAAACTTGTATAATATAAATAATATTGTAAAATTTGATTAAAATATAATATATTATATAAAAATGATCAAAAAAAAGCTCAAGAATCAGTTTGGCCTGACTTATTAGAAGTCTTAACCAGTATATAAAAAAAATTATTCAAATACAGTATATAATTATAATTACATATCATATAAAAACAATCTAATTATTAATTCAAACTAAATATAATTATATTTTTTTAAACACAATATAATATAATTAGGGTTCCTAACAATATTACTTTGATATCAATTCAATACTTAAATTTATTATAAAATTATATAAGTAGGTCACAACCCATATACTAAATTTACTATAGATTGGTACCATTTCGACATTAGTTTAATACCAGTTCAATATTTTTTGGAGCCCTAAACATAATTATAATATGATTTTTTTTATATATTAAAAATTTAAGTTTGTTCTTATATATATATTAAATTTAAACTTTTTTTTTTAATTAATCAAAAGCATTAAATGTAAGATTTTTATTATTTTATTATTATATTAAATATCTTTATAAACTAGATTATTACTAAGGATTCCAATAATTCCTTTTGATTCTATATTCGATTCTCAAGTTTATATTAAATTTAATAAATAAAATATATCCTACCATTATTTTTAATAGTATTTTGAATCTCATATAATTTTTTTGTGATTTTGTTTGATTCTAATTTTCAGAACCATAATTATTACTATCTTAAATATAAATTAATATTATCTAGTAAATATTATTTTTAATATTACTGGTTTTTTTTTTAGTCAATCCAACTATTCTGATTAACCAACTTATATCTTATAAATAAATTCATATTTAGATGAGACTTATACAGAAAAAGAAAATTTTATTACTAGTTTAAATCTATCCTCTCTCTTGGTTTAATTAAATTTTTTGACTGTCTATCAAAAAAAAATTATATAATATGTTATTATAGAGATTAGCTTTAATTATATTAATCACTTGTTATTATAGATTTTTAAGATATATCACTAGTATAATACAACACTACTATTTTTATTACTTGTGAAATTGGTATTCTTGCTTGGATTCCAATTTAATTTTATATAGTTCTTACCAAACATATTTGACTTATTAATTTTTGTTTAAATTTTTATTATTTGTAATTAATATCTTGTTTTTTAATCATATATTTAAGTTTCATAAAATACTATAATTGAAATAAACTTATAAGCTCTATATTAAAATAGATTGACTTAGAATTAACCTTTTTGAATTGTATAATAGAGTTTGCTCAAAAGTCTTTTTTTGTATAATCTTTTATATTCAATTTGTTTACTATCAATTTGAATTAGAGTTAATAGACTTTTTATTAAAATTAAAATATTTTAGTCTATAATCATCAGAAAAATCAGAGGTCTTATCTTTATACAACCTAATTGAATTTGTATATAGTTAAGAATTATTGAATACAATATATACAATATATTCAGTAAATCAATATCCCTTAAATTATAAATTATTTTTTTTATAATATTTAAAATTTTTTAGCTAAAAAGTTGCTTTTTATTTATTTTTTTAAATAATCAAAATATTTTTAAAAAAAAATTTATATAATATTAGTTTTAATTATATACTATTTATTAATAATATTTATTTTTTATTTATTTAATAAAAATTTAAAGTTTAATTATAAGCAAAATTTTTAATTTAAAAAAAATATTTTTTAATAAAAGTTGATTTTAGATAAACTTAAAAATTTTTTAAATTAAAGTTTATACAATTTATAATAAGTTTTGTAGAATTATTTGTAAAGAATAACTTTAATTAAAAAAACTCTTTCCCACTTCCCCTTCTACGCTTGAAAATTTCCTTTTTAGGAAATTTTTGAGTTGTTTACTTTTTTT